TGAGTGGTGTGTTATTGCAGCAAAGTGCTCAGTCATTAAAATGAGTGATTAACTGCCAGTTTTAGTTTTTGTTTTAACTGCCGTGTAGGCCTTGTCGTGAATACGAGGGTTGCCTTTTATATTTCGGAATTAGAGAACACTAACCGATATTTATCATGGAAAATTGCTTTATTGTTTATTTTTTTTAATATTTTCCCTTAAGATCTATATACTTTGGTATGCATTTGAACCAATTATTGAAGCACTTTTGCCACTCTTATTGAGTTGTCTACAAAATCGTTGACCTCTCAGTTTTTTTTCGACGTAAGGGAATAAAAAGTAATCTTTCGGTGACAAATCAGGCCTCATCTAATCAATGTTTTAAGTGCTTAAAAACGCAATTGTTTCATTCGATGTATGAGTGCTCACTTTGTCGTGCTTCGACTGGTTGTGTAAACTCAGAATTTACTGTTATTTCCACGATTTATCATCTGTCACAATGCCATACGACGTGTCTCCAAGCACCGTTATCGAATTTTTTAGAATTTCTCTCGAGCTGCAGTTAAACGTTCATGAAATATTAAATATAATGCCTCTAGTTAGTACCCCATAGATCTAATAGGTCTCATGATGATCTTGCGATATCTGTTTCCTGAAGAACATATGATTTTGAACAAACTTCACGAAATTCGTCTTAGAGTGATCTATGACCTCAATTCCATTCACCACACCAACGGCAAATATTGGTCCTTGACACAGCTTCATCGCCGATTCATTCATTGATGCAGTGTTGGCTGAGTTAACCCACGACGAAAGTGGAAAAAAATAATCACGCGATAACATTACCGACTTAATCCCGAGATTAAAGCTCTGTTCGGTGAAAAATGTCATTTAGAATTATTGAGTAGCGAAATGTGAAAATTGCGCTCTTTCGAAACAAATTTTTTAGGATTTTTGCTTCACCGAACACAGTTCAGTAAAAATTAGTAAGAACCATTGCTGCTCATGAGCTCACCTAACCAAGTTTAATTTTAAGTTACCATATGTCAAAAGGTTCTAAGTAATGTCGAACTTAAGATAAAGTTTTCAGTTGCCAGATTGCAACACTGGGGTTGCCAAAATCCCGAAATTTAAAAGGCAACCCCCGTAAATTCGTTTTTTACGCACTCGCGCACATATAAGAGGTTTCTTTTGAAAGCCATAAAGACGTACGTAAATTCATTGCTCGATTTACCACTTCAACAGTTCATCGATATTTTAAATTTTTTATGAGCGCATGGGTAACTACGTAATTCGAATTTATTTCTTTTTTCTTTTTACGATCCAAATAAAGTACGCTCGTCACACACTTCTTCAAGTGAGTTGAGCTGTTCATGCGTGTTCGGCCGCAATAGCCGAGTGGTTAGTGTTGCATGATGTCATTCTGAAGGCCAAGGTTCGAGTCGTGGTTCATCCAACAACCTAAATTATAGAAAATTAATTTTTCTAATTACGGTCACTCCTCGGCAGGGGATTCCAAACCTTTTAAATGTATTTCTGACAAGAAGTAAAAGCTCGTCATAGAAATATATTGCTCGCTTGGAGGCGGCTTAGTGTAAGCCGTAGGCATCTCCATCTGTTGAAAAGCATCAAGCTGCATGCCAGAAATTAGAGGAGAAGCTCGGCCGAAAAACGCTTCAAGGGTTATAAATCCCCAATTATGTTGTATTGTACATACATACATATATGTATAACATTTCAACAACTGTCAAATCAACTAATTTCACTTTAAACGTCTTTTGTGGTTTATTAATATATTTGTCGTTAGTCTAGTATTTTTTTTTATGTTTAACCCAGCAAACACTACAACGAAAGTTTCTAATACTAAGCCCTCCCAACATTTTTTTCAAATTTGCCCCGTAAACAGAAATTTTTGTATTTTCTATTATATTTTTTTCAAAATCTTAGTTAATTTAAAAATTAAAAATTCGTATTTCCTGAATCTCGAACGATCCGTAATTGACAATACTCGATTCCATAAAGAAAGGTAACTCTCTCCCGTGCTCGAATGCCTCAAACTACTGTCGCCAAGATCTGTCTTGATAGTTCGCAACCAGAGAAAATAAGTTCGTTTCGAAATCGCAGTACATTGGGTTTATTGGGTTATCACACAAGTACATACATATATGTATAGACCATTTATATTGTTGACAAATATGCCCGGCCTGATGACACTGCGTTGTATAAACAAACGGAAGGAGGAGACACGAAAATTGAGCAATCAATTACTTGCTAAGTATTTTTATTTTTATTAAACGCTTATGTACATACATATGTATATATGTTATGTATGTATGTGATTAGTACATAAGCATAACGGAAATAGAAATATTTAATATTAATTTTTCAAATGCACCAAGTTCATTGAACTCATAAATAAATGTTTTAAAATTGACCACACTTTAATGACTGTGGGGGTAATATTTATGGAAATTTATATTTGCATATTACACAAGAGTTTATATGTATGTGCATACTAAGTACATACTAGAAGTCTAGAAGCGGAGCGCTTGAAACTGCATGGTATGTACTATAAATATATAGAATTACATATGTGCAGCTAAATTTTATATTAAAAAATTAAAAATAAAAGCACAAATCTGCGTGTAGATAAGCAAAGCCGTTCACGTTCACGTAATAGAAATTTGCATGCTTGAATTAAGGTGGCCAGACGTGCGTGCTATATTGCGCTTGCAGATATGTACTCGTAAATGTGTCACTTATGATTAAAATGCAGTGATAAAAAGTATGAATTATGAAAGAATTATTATGTAAAAATTTATGCTAAATTCAAATGAGCTCTAGACTGAGCACCTAATGGAAAATATGCTTATATCACTGGTGGAGAATGGGCGATGTTCTCACTTAACTAGTAAAAATACCCTGCAGTGTAAATCCAATTTTGAGCAATTTTTTCTTTATTTCTCTTTCTGCGATGTAGAAAATCAGCATGTATTCAGAGACTAGTATTTAATATGTATAAAGTTGATGCATAATCGAGTCAAACGCAAATGCGAAAAACGAAGAAAAAATTATTAGTTAGTCCAAAAGACAAACTAGCCAGAAAATTTATTTACTCAAACAAATGACGTATAATTAAGGCATATAAATTAGCAAACACGCCGGTGAGGTTACGTAGGAGAGACCCAGGGGCAGTTTTTTCTGAAATTTCTGTTATTTCTCTTTCAAAAGCTTTATATTATATTAAAAAAATTCTCTGCCATTGACTTCAATCACTTTAATAACAGTCAATTTCTCTAAAAAGAGTTATTATTAGCGAGACGCGTGGATATAGATATTTCATTATTTTGTTTTTTTTATGTTATTTTATTTTATGTTTTTTAATTATTTTAATTTTTTTTTATATTTTTTTTCCTTTATTCATTTCATTTAATTTAATTAATTTTTAATTTTTTTTAAGTTACAACTAAATTTAATTTAAGCTGAAACAATTAAGCTTAATTGGATTTTTCAATTTATTTATTTATTTTTTTTTTGTATTATATTTTATTATTTTTCATTTCGTTTGACTTTATTTTTTTTTACTTAATTTCTATAATTTATTTTACGTAATTTTAATTTAATTTTAATTTATTTTATATTTATTTTATTTTAATTTATTTATTTTCATTTTGTTTGTTATTTACATTTACATAATTTAATTTATTTTATGTTGATATATATAAAATATAATTGACGCTGCAGTGGTTTTCGGTCGAGCTCCTCCTGTTTTTCCAACAAATGGAGGGACATACAATTTATACTAAGCAGCCTACAAACGGCTGATGGTTTTTTATAAGGAACCTCTGTTTAATGTCAGAAATACACTCGTAGAGGTTAACATTCCCTGCCGAGGGGCGACTGCAATTTGAAAATTTTTTATTTAAATTAATTTTCTACAACTTTTGGATATTCATCGTGCCAAGATTTGAACTTGGGCCTTCACAATGTCATTATGTTTTTTTTTTTTAATTTGAATTTACTTTTTTTGAATTGTAATGTTATTTGTTTGCTGTATTTTTTATTTCAACACACGTATATATATATTTTTAATTAAATAATTTAGTTTTGATTTAAATTTTTTTCAATTTATTATATTTTGTTATATTTTATTGCATTTTGTTTTGAATTATTTTAGTTCATATTGTTTATTTTTAATTTAGTTCAACCTAATTTACTATTATATACAAAATTAAATTTAATTAATTTAGTTTTAAGTTGATATAATTTAATAGAATTTGCTTTATCTGAATTTAGATTGATTTTTACAAATTTTTTTATTTCAATTTTCTTTTATTTTATACATATTTTTTTAAATTTATTTATTTTTAATTAATTTATTTTTTTTGTTATATTATTTTATTTTTTGTTATCTTATTTTAATTTAATTTGGTTTTTTTATCTTATTCATTTCATATTTTTTATTTTGTTTTAATTTATTTATTTATTTAAACTTAACTTAATTTAATTTGATTTTATTTGTATATTTTCGTACTTTACTATATTTCATTATTATTATTATTTTTAAAGTAAAACAACTTCTATTTAATTTTAAATTTAATGTAATTGGATTTAATTTAATTTAATTCCTGTCTGTTTATTTTATTTTACTTTTTAGTATACTTCCCTTCATTATATTCTATTTCATTGGCTTATTATTTGTTCGAAAAAAGCTTTCATTCTAAAATTAATATTATATTTTTCATTTATTTGATCCTCCACATTTCAGCAACTTTGTATATGTATACTACTAAAAAGTAAACAAGGCATAAAAGTGTATCAGTTACGTGCCCGAATTCTTCGAACGTTAACATTTGATATAATTTTTTGAAACCGTACTTTATTTTTTAACGATTCTCTATAATCGAAACTTAAATAATAAAAATAAATAAAAAAATACTTCCAGAGTGTTACAAACCGCGGCTATTATTTACTTGGGTACCAATAAGAAGTACAATAATAATAATATATTTTCTTTGCAGCAACAGGTTAATCTCATCGGACGGAGAAGCCGCATTGATTGCATCAGCAGCCATTACGGACCTGGAACTGCAACAGCAAATTAACGAAGCTAAACAAGTAACACCGATTTCTCTCAAATCAGCCAGTTATTCGCAGAAATCCACTGCATCTGCACAGTCAGCAGGTGACGTTGCTAACAGCACGCAGGGCACACCTAAACTGAGCCACGACAGCGAGGACTACAATTTGAATTCGACCACGGATAAAAAGAACACAACCGACAACGGTTCAATGATTCGAATGGGTGCTCTGCAAGATGCGTGTAGTGATAATGAATCAAGTAGTCCAACACCAGCGAAATGGCGTAGTGATCCAGACGTGTTGCAGTTGGAGGATGTAAAGGATAGCAGCAGCCCAATAAATGTAGTGACAAGTGGTGGCGCTTCACCGCTGAGGAAAAATGGCAGTCTTGCAAGTTTGCATAGTAAAAGTGAAAGTATCAAGACACAGTTAGGGGATACTCCCACAGTACTCTCGCGCACACAATCGGCAAAGTCACTACTTATTGAAGAAGACATCGAGGACAATGGTAGCTTCGTGGTAATGGAGGAGCTACATACCGAACGACAGAGTAGTGGCATAAAAGAGCAAAGTGTACGCGAAATGAGCGCAGGCAGTAAGGACGATACACCTCGTAGAGAGTATGGAAATGATGATAAATGTGCGTGCCAGTCGAATGCCATTACAGCACAGCCGCAAACACCTTTACGTTCACGCCCACCAACGCGATCACGTTCACCTACAATAGCTGAGATTAAATTACTTTCACGCCGCAATTCAATGATCAAATCCATGGAATCCTTGTATGAACGTCCCCCTTCGAAGCAAGAGTTAATATTTGACAATACCAGCACCGAGTCGGGCTCGGCCGCAAGCTCACAACTCAATACCACCATACCAATAAAGCCACAACATACACCGTTAAAACAAAAAGCGAAAACTTCACATTTCCTCAAAAATCATCGACGAGTTTCACCAGTCAAACAAGCAATTAAAATGCCACAAGCCGAGCTCTATCCACCAACAATGCAGCGTTTCGAGAAGCCACGTGATGCTTTGCTAAAAACATTCGATCAACTCGACTCAACTAATTGGGAGGTCATAATATTGGGTCTCAAGTCAATGGTGCGCTTAATGCGTTATCACGCGGAGTATTTGGAGAATCAAATGCATATGGTTTGCATACAGTTAACGCGTTCGGTGCGTAATCTACGTTCGCAGGTAGCACGTGCCGCCTGTCAAGCCGCCACCGAACTCTTCTCGCTCAAATCCAAATGCTTGGAACAGGAGTGCGATGATTTGGTTTGTGCCTTATTACATCGTACCGCTGATACAAACCGTTTCCTGCGCGCCGATGCGACACGTGCGCTGGAGTCAATGTGTGATAATCTAACGCCGCTAAAAATCTTGAATATACTCTCCACAAAGGGGGCAGTGCATCAGAATGCGTTGGTACGCACAACCACCGCAAAACTTCTGCATCGTCTCGTTGAACGGCTGGGTAGTGATAAGGTGTATACAATGCCTCGTGATAATCGTGATAAATTTTTTGTGACTGGCGCTAATTTACTGCTGGAGGGCAGTCTGGAAACGCGCAGCTATGCCAAGTCAATATTTCGTCTGCTTTCGGATCATCCCAACTACAATCGTCTGCTTATTGAGGTGATCCCAACGCGTACATATCGTAATGTGGAGAAGACGCTGAAAAGCATACGTTGAAAAGTGTCCAACGACCTATATATGTATTATGGAATTAGTTATGTAGAAAATATATATCACCCGTTTTGTACATAAAAGTTCTTTTGTTTTATTTGCACACTGATCTATGACTAAATATTTCGTTTTTTCTTTTTGTAGTAATTAAGAATAAACTAAAATTAATATTTAAGTTATTAATTAAGCATTTTAATGAAAAACTATATAACTTATTAAGATATAAGATTATCGTTTTAACGAATTCATAAAAATATTCATAATCAAAAATAAAGTTAATGTGTTATAAAATTGTTTTGTGGTTTGATTTAATATATCGGAGTTTTATGGCTTTTTACCTATTTATCAAGTGAATACCTACTTTTATACTTATATTTTAAAAATTCATATTGATATTAGCATTGCAATTTTATAGCAACACGCATAAACTTTTATTTTATTTTGTTTTAAAATCAAAAACTTGTATACACTTGTCAATTTTAAAAAGAAAGGATAATACGAATATGTATATACGTATACCTACTACATAAGGTTGTATTATTAATTTAAAGACAAGAGTTCGTGACAAGGGTTTTAAAGGAAATTAAAAATACTTCTTCTCAAATTTACAAAATATTGCTACTGATTAATGTTACATATAATGTTTTCACATGACCACTTTTGATATAAAGCAGTCTTATTTACATCTCCGCACGTCTTTACTTAGCTTTGGGTTTAGTAACATCAGTATGTGCTTTCTTTTTTTGCTTCAACTGTTATCTTCTTTTACGATTACCTTCATCCCGTTGACGTCGATCATCACGTTTATAAGGGTGCGAGCGTAAATGTTTATTTGAATGATTATTTGTAACCCATTCTCGTTCATTATCTCTATTTCCCCGGTCACGACTTCTATTTGGCGAACCTTTCATAACATCCGGTGAGTTTGTCCTGAATGGATTTGAGGATGCTGGTAATATTATATTGTCATTCATACTAGGGTCATAGAAACTAGGATAACTTGTACTGCGTAACATGCTATTATCTCCTGGTCTCGGCATGTAACGTTCACAATCACTTGGCAACGAGCGACGTTTGTTGTTAGCACTTTGTTCACCTTGAAATTTGATTGTTAACATTTTTCGATAAAGTGACAGGCCGGCAAGAAGTTTTGTTGCATAATTTGGTGTACACCGATGTGAATAAACCACAAATCCAAAACCGCGTTGGCGACCGTTATTATCCTTTGGTAAGCGCACTGTCTCTAATGGTCCGGCTTGTAGGAAAACTTCATAGAGTAAATCTTCAGTAACACGATCATCCAAATTACCAACGTAAAGTGTACGTAATTGCTCATCGTCCTCGTCGTCGGTATCACCAGCATTGTCTTCGAATTGAGGCGGCCCCAAAATTTGCGGCGGACGTTGGTTCAATGTATATGCAGAAGGCGCCGACAATGAGTAGAGCAATTGGTTAGCAATTTGAATTGCTGCTATCTGCTGTTGTTGCCACATTTTAAACAAGTTTATTTGAACTTAATCGGTGATGAAAGATAAAATTGTTATAAGCAAAATTAAATTCTATTCAAGCAAATGTTTTGTTTTTATGCACATTTGTCAATGACGAGTTATGTACGCTATAAACCTATCGAGATATATCGATATCTCTCGGTATCGAAATTTTTATTTATGAATAACACTGTGGGCCGAAACCAATTTTCCTGCCTAGGCATATAAGCAAAGAACGTATATTAATATACGTTCTTTGATATAAGGAATACCACAAAGAAATCTCCATAATTCATATGAATTTCTATAAAAATCAAAAAAGCTAAGGGTGTCTAATACGACATTTCCACGACAGCCTAATTACGTGTTTCTCTTTCTCAAAGCGCTCCAAATACATGCCAAATTATTTAATTCGCCCTACAAATTTTTGTGAATGAATTACAGTAAAAGTGGGTAATCCATTCTCCAACGCCATGTGAATTACGAACAAGTCGATGCCTTCTCTAATTCTTATTGAAACCAACTGACAAATTAAAATAAAAGAGATGAAAATCATAAAAGAAAACACTAATCCACAAACATTTATTTGAAACCAAACACTGTTTGTATTTTAAAGAACGGAAAAATTTCCAATAAGAACTACATTGCCGATTCAAGTCATGATTTTGTTAACTCCTGCTAAAATCTTTAATTTTACGACTTCAAATGGAACAAACCAGCGAATCCGAAAACTGTCAAATTGCGCGCCGTGTGAACGGGGGTAATTCGCATTGGTAATTCAGAGGGCCAACAATGTATTTCATGATGCCGTGGAAAAACCGAATCAAGGCGAATTTAAAAAGGTTGAGTTACTAAGTCATCGAATTCAACTTTTTTCATCATTAATTCGCTTCAGTGTAAAAGTAGTCAAAATGTTTGTTTATAGTTTGAATGTTTGTTTACATTTTGATCTTTTGTAATTTTTATTTTGAATTTCTAATTTTGTAGCTGAAAATTTTCAAATGCGATAAAGTGACTTTTTCCAAATAAAAGAATGTGTTCCGATTTCGATTTGAGTTGAATTTATGCGGCTATTAATCAGTGACCAACGCGCTTAGAGCAATATGCCCGTTTTTAGACCACTATTATAAGGCTTCTTCACTTTCTCAAATGTTCGAACCATTTCGTGTAAATTATGAAAGCAACGAGAATGCTAGTTTTCGTTGAAGATAGCTCAGCGTGACAGACAAAGAAGTGTTAGTATTCTATATAATCTTCTTCTATGGCAAAAATCATTATAGTGAGTTTCTTTTTTTATGAAGCCATAGCTCTCTGATCAAGTTTCACGTGATCTGATTCTATCATGAAGTGTTCGCGTTTGTGACAAAGGCATATTTATGTCATGACAAAGGTAAACCTGCAACTTGCTCATTCTTTGTTTTGGATAGAAAGGCTCCTTCTCTCACTAGCTAGAGGGCGCTTATTTTCACCTATCCACTCCTGTTTGGGATTATTGTCGAAGGGATCCGTTGGGCTTTGTATGTACATAGAAAGGGAGCTCGATTCCACAAAATCTATATCTACATATATGGATTCGTGCTTGCCAAAAAAAAATTAAAAAAGGAGCTTAGTATGCACACACCATTTTTTAAAAATAAAATTAAGTTTATACTGTGGTTAAATTAACATATTTTTCCAATATTACATATATAATAATTATAATCAATTATATGATATAAATGAATTTGTCATGAATTATACTATTTTTACACTGAAAACAAAATAAATGGTAATTGTTGTTTGTGTTCTCTTGCTCTTACCTTTATGAATTCGCCTTGATCCGAATATAAATAACGGCTTTCCGATATCACAACTACGCCTAGCAAGCACAGGGTGATATAAACTTCAATCAGTAGTTTTAAATGAAGAATGAAACTTTTTTTTAGTATAAACAAAGAAGCACAATTAACAAAATATATATCTTCATCATGGTATAAAATTTAATTCAAATTATATTTTTTAAATAATATCATTAAATCAAGTTTTATTTTCATATTGACTCTTTCCTGCATATTTTTTATTCCCTCTGTTTTAAAGAAACCGTGAGTGTTATTAAAAACTGCCAAATGTTGTTTATGAAATGTTTGAAGTTTTCACAGGTAATAAAAGTTTTTTGCAGAGTATCGGTGAGTTAAAGATACAAACTATATAGCTTCTAAATGAAACTTTCATACTTCTGTGTCACCCTATGTTTCGTTAAATTTATGGTAGTGTTAAGCCAAGGGTTAGATCCCATATTTGTTTGTTGTTATGAAAAACAGTTAATTTTTAATAGATTTAAATCACGAAGTAAATATACTATAAAAAAAATTTATTTGTGTTAAGTAATACTTATTACTCCTAAAAATGGAGCTTAGAAATTCGAAAACAAATCAATACAAAAGTTCTTTAATTAGTAAGTTAAAACTGTTTATTACTTTGCAATTGTCAAGATAATTTGGTTCTTATTTCATTTTATCGCTTAATTACAAGATTTAGGGCTATATGAAAATGGCATGAAATTGGAAGAAATGAGACAAGTAATGCAAGCAATAGAAGAGTCAGAGCTGGAATGCGAAACAGCTTTTTACGAGGCTGATCTGGAACGTGCTCTGAAAGTATATATTTATTTTACTTTACAAATAACAAAGTGCAACTTCATCTTTGTACATATTTATATAGGAAAGTGAGTTGGACTATGTTCAAATGCATTCTGAGGCTCATTCCTCTACAATGATTAAGCAGACAAATATTGTAAGGTCGTTACCGCATTGGTAAGTCTTATTTTTGAATATTAAACAGTCAAAATATAAATAATACATATGTATATATATATTTGCATAACATAGTCCAATGTCGCCTCAGCAAAATCTTCTTAATTCAGATGCTTCACCTTTTAGTAGCCCTGAAATAGCATCGGAAAAAGTCGTTGTTCAAGCAATAGTGCATCACGAATTGAACTGGAGTCCTCCGCAATTCAGGAAATTAGATCAATTGTTAAATGCTAAAAGCCTAGCTTGCCTTGAGAAGAATAACGGAAGCACTGAGAAGCGGAAGGTCGACGAGAATGAACATGATGAAAATATTATTAAGCGTTCCAGGTTACCCATAACATCTTCCCCAAAATCTTTTGAAAACGACTCAGAAAATCATTCCGGAAATGATTCTGACTATGCAAGTCAAATTACAGATGATAGTCAATCGGATCCATCCTTTTAAAGTTTCTTGTTATATTTCATGTATTAAATAGATTTTATTTGTAAGTAAATACTCTTAAAGAAGTCTTCAATTCCAATATTAAGTAATGTAAAAATGTAAATAATAAACTTTGATGTTATGATGTAATTGATAATTCTGACTACTACATTTATTAACTCAAGGAATCATAATTCGTGAGCTCCCTGTGTTGAATCCATTGGAAGCCTAAATGGCAACTCAAAGCCATCCGTTTGCGGTGGTTGGCAATATGGCTAGAAATGTCACTTTATTTCCAATTTTCTTGTGTCAGCTATTTTGTGTCAGCAAAAGAGGTAAAAATCCGATATTTTGTGAGAAATTTCTAATGGTGTGTTTTTTTTTTAGGTATCAGCGACTACTTTTACAAGTTATGTGCATTATTAAAATAGCGAAAAACTATCGCGCAATTCAGCTGCACAACGAGGCAACTTAATACTTGACGCTCAGCGCGTCTTGCCAATGTACACAATAGTGGGGTAACTCAGTCCACTGGAAGGAAGTTGCGTTGAATTATAAGGATCAAAATTAACAATTTTTATTGAAAGTGTGTGTTTTTTGCTGTGTGCTGAAGACTTGTTGCAACAATTAGTAAATAATATGACTGACCCCGATATACCCAGTGTTCCAGTGACAACTTTAGCTTGTTTGACAAGTTTGTCAGATTTACTTAGTGAACTTCCAGTACCAGACACACTAGGTAGTGTTACTTCGTTGAATAAATCATTGTTATTCCACACATTAGTTGCTAAAGAATCGAACAACTTGTTGTCTGTACGAGATGACAACCTCGTCAAACAGCTGGTTCATGCGATCGAACAGACCAACTCTGAAATAATAGAACTAAAATCCCAGTATGCCATTGAGCAATTCGGCACTAATATAAATACCTACCCTGAATTACTGCAGGGTATATATAGCTATAGTCCTACAGTGTTCAATGCTAACAATGGCAAAATTAATCAAAAAAATAAGCAACAAGCTCATCAACAACAACAAGAGCAATGGTATAATGTAGTTCACGGGCAGCGTGGTAGCAATTTAATGCAGCAACCTGATGACCTGCAGCGGTTTCAACAAGAAACGGCCCTGGATCCAAATAACACAGTTACATCAAAGGATTTATCAAGTGGTAGTTTTCCAACAATGGAAATGACTTCCTTACAAAATAATAATTTTGATGTGCAAACTCCGAAAAAACGAAAACACCAACAAGCTATAACGGAACCAAGCCAGTCATTTCCGGTTGAAGACCAAAAAGTTGTTTTTGAAAATATTGCAAGCTTCCAAAATACGGCTGCCTTGCATACGGCGATCAATTCAACTCAAGCAATAACACCAACAGTTGTGAATGAACAAAAGGAGCAACCTGCGAATTTAGCATCTGAACAGCAATCCACAATTGTAATGGCAAATTATCAAAATCAAGCCACTACCCCAATGACCGATATCAATTGCGAAATAATGCCTCCCACTACTATTGTCCAGCCGCCTGTGAATAATGGTTATACTCAACATGCGCCCGTCTTAGCTGCGCCACTATCAACGGAATTGAAAACTAAGCAGATTTCAACACCGCCGCATATTAAAGAACATACAATAGATGTGTCGCAGATAAATGCTAGTTTAAATAGTAAATCATTAGATAAGCCGAAAGTTCGGTTAAATCGACTGAAAGAAAAAGATGCATCACTTATGCAGCAAAGCATAAAACAATTTGTAAAGAAATCACCAGATTCTGCTAGAAAATTTGGTTTATTAACTCCACCAGAAGGGCAGTCACCCAATCCAACCAAAACAGAAGTTGAGCAAGAGGCGACAATACCAACCGTCGTAGCTCCTGTGTTAAAAGAGCCAACAACGCCCACTGTGCCGCCTGTCCAAAATATTAAACAATTAACTACCAAGGCAACAAACGAAGACGCATTTAATTTGATGAAAACAAATGAAAAGCCACTCCCTGTCAAACGGAAGCTACCACCGCCAGTGGATGAAGTTCCTCCAGAGCAAATACACTCGCAGCCGAAATTACGTTGCGTTGAACGCATTGTATCTACACCTTCTGCGAAATGTTCGAAAGATGAAATTTTACGATCACAAACGTATCAGCAATTCATGCGGAATTTAGAACAAATTATTGAAACGCTGGACGATACTGAAGTGCCCAATTTCGACACTGATGATGTGGATGAAAACATCGAGTGCATATCGTCCAGAATGCTGAACATAATGAGCAACGACATTGCTAAATTAAAAGCAAAATATGTTTTAGATGTTATACCGAAAAACAAGTTGGCGCTACTGGTCAATTACGCTATGCGTAACGTATATTTGGCCAAAAATTACTCAGCCGGCCCTGATGATGAAGATGATATTGTGGATGATGAAATAATGGAAAAGATTTTAAATGGTATCGAAGCTTGCCTACTAATTTGCAACATATATTGCACTTCCAAGGATATCAAGTTTCTGCAAGAAGATAACATCTCGTTAATTATTAAATTCATGCATTTTCAGTTTCGTGAAACAATCTTTCCATCTTATGATCCCGTTTACACGGTGAAAAGCATGAAAAAAACGGATAATCGTAAAAAGTCGAAAATTTATCAAAACTACAACCGCAGCCTGCAGTTGCTATACTCAAAGGCCACCGAGCTAATGAAAGTCTTCGTAACACTTTTTGATAAATATATATTTGTGGATACCATCATTTTGCCACTCTCCACATTATCAATTGAACCGTTCTTTGTTGATAACATCGAAACTCTGCAATTTGTATGCTTGGAACTCGTAACGACTATCTTTCGCAAAGAAGAGTATGTGAAAATACGCAGCAGCATACTCGGCGATATACTAACATCCATTGACCGTTTGCCTTCTTCAAAGAAGAACCTACGCCCTTTTAAACTAATGAATAACAGCGGCAATATACAAATGGTAACGGCTCTAGTGCTACAACTCATACAGTGTGTCACCATTTTGCCCGATGTTATGAATAATAATGCACAGAATAAAAGAAAAGCACTACATGGCGAGCTCACCGGTCAAACTGCCGGATTGGTGGCCACACAAAACGACCGACAAAACATCGATGTCATTGTGCTGAAAAAATATGATGTTGCCATTAGCATAGGTGGCAATTTCCTAACCACATTTTTAAATAAGTGCAAATCACGCTCTAATGAAACCGACTTCCGTCCAATATTCGAAAATTTTATCTACGACCTCTTGGCAACTGTAAACAAACCTGAATGGCCATCGTCCGAATTATTGCTTTCACTTTTGGGGACTATGCTGGTGCGGTATGTCTCCGATAAGTCTATAGAACAGAGCATACGTTTGGTTTCTTTAGATTATCTGGGCATTGTGGCAGCACGTTTGCGCAAAGATGCCGTGGACTCGCGCTACAAAGTGAATGTCATAGACTCGATGATCAGATATATTAAAGTGGAGCAGGAGAAGGAGGGCGATTTGCCATCCAGCAATAATAAAGTTGAATTGAAAGAAGATGAGCGTGTAGAGTTTCTACAAAAAATTCTCCTAGATTTCCTAGCCGCCAATGCACACGTAGACAATCCCATTTGGGATTACGCCAGACATTTCTATTTAACTCAATGGTATCGTGATATAATCTATCAGCGTCGCAACATCAACGAAGGCGCCAAACGTGACACATCGCGTAAGAAGAGCTCACGGAAAAGGCGCGCGGAACCGGATCTTTCCGGCAGTGATTCAAACGATGACAGCGGCGATGATATGAATTTTGAAAATGTCGATAGTCGTGTGGGCGGCGATTGCACAATGGGCGATCAGGAGTTGAATATGGAGCGTTTCAATTTGCTTGATAAACGCAAGCAATGCTTGTTGAATAACATCAATCCATACTCAACACTGGGTGATTCCAATCATGCACAACATATAAAAACATATATCGATTACAACAATGCACACTTAATAGCACAATATTTGGCCAGCAAAAGACCTTTTAGCAAGTCTTTCGATGGTTATCTTAAGAAAATTATTTTGGTTGTAAATGAGCCGTCGATCGCAATTCGAACTAGGGCCATGAAATGCTTAGCTAATATAGTCGAAGTCGATCCAATGGTACTCAGGCGTAAAGACATGCAGATGGGCGTGAACCAAAAGTTTTTGGATGCCGCGATTTCGGTACGTGAGGCGGCTGTAGATTTGGTTGGTAAATTCGTACTGAGCAACGAGGAGTTGATTGATCAGTATTACGATATGTTGTCCACTAGAATTCTTGACACGGGTGTTTCTGTACGCAAGCGTGTTATAAAAATTCTACGCGATATATGCATTGAATATCCAACCTTTCAGAAAATCCCTGAAATATGCGTTAAAATGATACGACGTGTCAATGACGAGGAGGGCATACAGAAGTTGGTGACGGAGGTTTTTATGAAAATGTGGTTTACGCCGTTGCACAAAAACGACAAGGATGGCATACATTTGAAGATCAATCAGATTATAGATGTAGTTAATATAGCACACGACACTGGCACTGCGTGGTTGGAGGGTCTTTTGAATAGCATATTTCAGCCCAAAGAGAGTACGGCCAAAGGCGATGATAGCATGAAAGATACATTGCAAAAGAAAACCGAGCCGCCGGCTGATATTTTGCTATCGTGTCAGCAGTTGGCTGATGGTTTGGTTGGTCGCTTGATCGAGCTGGAGGACACCGACAACACACGGATGTTGGGCTGCATCACGACATTGCATTTATTGGCGAAAGTGCGTCCTCAACTGTTGGTGCAACACGCAATTACTATAGAGCCTTATTTGAATATTAAGTGTCACCCGACAACGGCACCCAAATTCATTTGCGCTGTAGCAGACATACTTGAGAAGGTATTTATCATCTAATTACAAATTTTTATATTTAGATGTCCTGTTAATGGAGATATATTAATGTTGTTGAAACAATGGTTTACTAACCAGATACAGATAAACTAGTCTATAAGTTCATACGTCCGTCCGTTAATAGGTCTGTTCAACGGAAGAGTGTTTTCCGTTCGACTCGCACTGCAGCGGTCTGAGACTACTCTAAAACAGCCCCATTTACGTGGACTCCGGAGCTCTGAGTACGGCCGCTCCGAAGAAATTGAAACTTTCACCTGTTACCTTTGAACGGGTGTAATCCAGGTCAACTCTGGTGCGTAAACCCGGTTGTCATTAGTATTGTCCCATCGGGCGTCGCTCATTAGAAAGACGCAGATGAAGTAGTTACAGACTCGTTAAAAGATCGTCCTGAGTGCACCTCTTATACGGGGAGTGCATCTACTAGGAAGAGTTGAACGTTGCAGATATCCACATTAAGCGCACTTCGGAGAGTGGTAATGAAAATGTTCATCCATTCTCTTTCCCTAAAAGGCACCAACCACTACCTATTCCAGGCAAAGAGCACTGGCTGCCTCGTGGCATCCGAAATTAAGATCTGGATGTTGTTGTGGATTACACTGTTACTCATCCAGTTTTGAATCCCGAACTGCTGAACAGGACAGAGTCCGTCAACACTTTCGTGAACTCGCTTTCCGTGAATGATGTTCTCAGAATCCAAGTACCATGCATTGCAGACTAAGAACTCGTTCTGCCTCGAGAGATTGGAGAAAAACGGGCAAAATTAATATCCGGATTTTATAGTCGATTTAATTCTTGCTTATATAGACTTGATCCCGACCTACCCATGTTATGTCCTGCATGTAATGAGACCTCGCACGACACTAACTACCTCTTACCTTGCCTCTTAAATGAGCTTGATGATCTAGACTGGTCTTGCTTGCTACTCGGCAGCCATTACAAAAACAAAAACAAGAACAGCATCATCAGCAGTTACAACAAGAGCAAAACATTTCCAACAGCAGTAACAATAATTCCAAAAACAACAATGATTGTAGAAGTTTTCGCGAGAAAGGTTATGTAAGAAATTAGTAGCACTTTGTGTCCATCGACTTTGCAAAGATTCCGATCCGCACCATACAAGATGACATGCCGTAATCAGGTAGCAATCACGTCTACATCACCTTAAGACGGTATTTCGAACTTCTAGGCTTACAACTATTTTCCAAATAATTCTAGCATCCGAATGTGTAATGCTCGGTCCAACCCGGATATTGGTCTATTTTGTCTGTTATTTTTATTTTTTTCAAAAATTGTTTATCTTGACCATTCTCTTTCAGGTTGTACCGCTTGTTAACAACGCTAGCGAGTCCTTCTTAGCCTCGCTCGAAGAGCATTTGATGCTGCTGGTTGTGTCGCTCAATCAGGCGGTCGTAAAGAGTTGTGTCTCCTGCTTGGGTGCGATTGTCAACAAGATAACGAAGAACTACGCATTGATAAGAGATTGCTTTCAAAAGTTTTATCGCATCTTAGATCAAACCCGAAGTCAAATACTACAAAACAGGCAGATTAATAACTTAAGTGCAGCTATACGACGAAGCCTCTTCACCATTGGCATACTGATGCGGTATTTCGATTTCAAATCGAAAGAGGTGGTGGGCGAAACGAACGGCTTATCGCCGACCATATGCAACGATGTTTTCGAATGTCTAATGTTCTTCGCACAATATCAAAATCACGATATACGTAAGGAGGCGCTAATAGCTTTGGGTTCATTTTGTGTGATGAACGATGACTATTTGACAAATACGAAGCTGAAGCGTTATTATTGCGACTTGTTGCTTTCCGAAACGAGCGATGCTTGTTTCAAAATCATTTGTTTACGTAACATATGGATTTATCTGACCGAGTCGGAAATGAATATGTTCAACAAGGAGAAGGATTGGGATAAACAGTCGAAGACCGAAGATTTGAAGGAGATGAACGATGTGTCCTCGGGCATGTCAAGTCGCATTATACAATTGTATCTGCAAGAGATATTCGATTGTTTCCTAAATAGCGATGACAATGTGCGTTTGTGGGCCGTCAAAGTAATACAGATCGTGCTGCGGCAAGGTCTTGTGCATCCGGTGAAGACTGTGCCATATCTTATATGCTTAAGTACAGATTCGAAACTGGAGTCTGCGCATAGAGCGGATGCCCTGTTGAAGGACATCGATAAGATGTACAACGGTTTTGTGAATATGAAGGCACAGTTGGGCTTGCAATTTAGCTTTAGATTACAGGGCATACTACAGCAGAACGTTAAAACGGGCAAAACAGGTAATAAAGTTATACGCGGTTATGTTAAAAGACAAATGGATTCAATGCCCACGGCACTAAACGACTTCTTATACACACTTTTGCGTCCGATCAAAACGCAACGGCGTGCACTCGTTCAAACAATCGTTAAACAATTTGACGATCAAAAAACATCACTACAACAAATGTTATATATAGCGGATAATTTGGCCTACTTCCCGTATGTGGTACAGGATGAGCCACTCTATTTAATACATCAAGTCGATTTACTCATATCTATTGTCGGTACTAATTTGCTCACAACTTTTAAAGAAAATCTAAAACCTAGTGTTAATGTAGGCGATGTCTTAGAGGACGACGATGACGAAGACGATCCCGATGTACTGTTTAAGCGTCTGCCAGATAATGCATTCGAAATGCAAAAATGCATAATGTCTGCACAAGCGTGTATGCTGTTATTAATTCTAAAAGATCATTTAAAACATATGTATAGTTTAACAGATGGTAAAATATCAAGATACTCACCGTCTGAACCGAAGTTATACGAGAAGGCAGTAGTTCGTAAAACCGTATCAGATTTTAATCCTAAAACAACAATAGATATTATTAAGAAACAACAGGAGACGATGGCAGCCTCCCATGCTGCGAATAGCCAAGCCAATTTAAATGATGACGAACGTATGGATTTGGTTATCAAATATTTAGATTTTAAAAAATTGATGCTTAAATTGGATCCCGACGATGAGGATTCCGAAGACGATGTTCGCAATAAATCGAAATTGAATGCCACAGCAAACACATCATTGCTGAATTCGAGTTCGGCGAGTGCAAATAAATCCACAGATGATAGCTGTTTAGATGGGGATAAATCGATGAAGCAGGGGAATTTGACTTAATTAAGTTTTGTGACTATAGTAAGATGATGAGTAAAATAATGAAAATATATATAATCATGTACAAACATACTTTCATAAATAAACACAAAAAAATTCACACAATTCAGATATTTATATCAAAGGTTGGAAATTGGAGATTTGTTGTTGTTGTTTCGTTGGTTGAGTTAAATCAGCAAACGAAGTCGCGTCAGTATTTGAAAACCACTAAAATTTCATCTGGATCTGTGTCACTCTCACTCTTTGACTTCAGTGCGCAAAATAGCTCTTAGGAGTTAGTAGTTACCGTAGTATTTCGAGGTCAATATGTCACACACAGAAAAAAAAGCCGAGAAGTTCCACAGGGTGGGCCAATCTCCTTACTTTTTTTTTATAAGTTCTACGTACTGAAACTCTCTTCTCCACCGGAAGTTTTATTTTATGTTTTTGTAACCGCAAAAATATATTTATATATAATTGGCGCTTTGTAACCCTTGATGTTTTTCCAACAAATAGAGGGACCTACAGCTTATACGCCCGATCGGCTGATAGTTTTTTACGAAGAGCCTTTATTTCATGTTAGAAATACACTAAGCGGGGATGTCATTCCCTGCCGAGGGGCGATGGCAATTAGAAAATTTAACTAAAATTTTTTATTTAAATTAATTATTTGTTTTATTTAAACTAATTTTTTTTAATTTCAATTAACTTTTTATTTAGATTACTATTTTTTATTTAAATTATTTTTTTTTTAATTAAATTAACTTTTTTATTTAAACTCATATTTTTTTATTTAAATTATAGTTTTTTAATTTAAATTAATCTTTTTTGTTTGAATTAATTTTTTTAAATTATTTTTTAATTTAAATAAATTTTTATTATATAAATTAATTTTTATATTTAAATTATTTTTAATTTTAATTAAGTTTTTATTTAGACTACAATTTTTTATTTAAATTAACTTTTTTATTTAAATTATTGTTTTTATTTAAATTAATTTTTAATTAAATTAATTTTATTTTATATAAATTAATGTTTTTTAATTAAATTAACTTTATTATTTAAATTTATATTTTTCATTTAAAGTAATTGTTTTTAATTTAAAATAATTTTTTATTGAAATTATTTCTTATTTAAATAAATTTTTAGTATTTAAATTCATTTTTTTTAATTTAAATTAATTTTTTTATAGAATATAATTTTTTTGAAATTATTATTGTTTATATAAATTAATTTTTTTTATTTTAAATAATTTTTTTTTATTTTAAATAATTTTTTTTATTTTAAATAATTTTTTTATTTTAAATAATTTTTTTTATTTTAAATAATTTTTTTTTTATTCAAATTAATTTTTCTTGTTCAAATTAATTTTTCTGGTTCAAATTAATTTTTTTTCTATAACTTTTGGATTTGAAGCCGGGCCTTCCGGGCCGGTCCGGCAATACGGAATGCTAACCACTCAGCTACCGCGGCTGCAAAAATACATCCCAAAGTAGTTTTGGGGAATGTTGCAATACTGATAGTCCTTGGCGGAAGCCGGGAAGTTCATTACTAGAAGGGATACTATTGGATTTTAGGCGCCACTTGCGATAGGCCTGACCACCGGTAAATTATTGAAGTTCTAATTTGAAATTCAATGGTTATTTCGCTTCCTCTTCATGGCTTCAGAATCTAGATTTTTACCAACGAAATTGACGGCGAGCCTTATTACAAGCAAACGCTGAATTTCACAGTCATGATGCATCGACTCTTAAGACCCAAGGTTACTGAGGGTTATTTGGAAGTCTATAATCCTTCACTCTATGTCCCAGCGATCGCACAGAGCCGCAACAAATTCTTGTAAATCATTAGCCAGCAGCATCTGTGCCAAAGAAATGGAAGCGTTGCCAGCATCTAATATCGGTCCATTGGCCATAAATCACAATAAAAATCGACAAATACATGGCTGCTTGGCTGGAGCCATCATTCAGGAGCATCAGTAGAGTTGCACCTGAATGCATAGATTCTAAGGGCAGTTAATAGAATGTGACAAATTACAGGCAAGTCTCAAACGGCATTCACAGAACGACAATACATATTTTCTTGGACTCTCCTCCGGCGGTCTACGTTTTAAACTTCCTATATGCACAAGCTCGCATACATTAAAAGACCATGCCTTCTTGAACCAGGCTGTATATCCGCAAGAGACTAAACATCAGTTCGAATAAAGCCCCTACTCCTAGAATATATAAGCTATTAGGCAGGCCAAGCTAAACGCCGATGCTCTGCTATCTATTTGAGAAATAGTCTGCGCTTGCTTTGTGCTCTGGGAGACTTTTAAGAAAAAACCAACACGAACAGCAAAAATCACAGTAAATAAATGATAAAAATAACATCGAAGAGCAAAAATCAGAAATCTGTTATTTCAATGGCATAACACCCATGATACCGCAGCACACCACAAAAGAGGACTGGCAGCAAGCAATCCTTGTGCTCACGCAGCTGGATGCATGTACATACGGCATATGTACGAAGTTGATAAGTCGGTGGTGTAGTAGGTGTTGAAGGCCAACGGCAGCATGCTCGTTGATGTGGAATGAAAAGTAGCTGAGGATCAAATAAAAATGATGGTGACAAAACTGCTTTGCCGCGCACTCACTTCAACCGTGCTTAGCTGCAGGATTCGCTGTGTTGGCGGTGATGATAATGGCGGCGGTGAGATGTGTAGTTGTAGTTGCCGGTGAGCGGAGGGCAAAATCAACGCTACAGTGTGGGTTTGCTGGTTTAACGAGCGGAAGACGTGCATACATACATACAGAGTATGTATAAAGTTAAATAAAAATGTGTTTTTAAAAGGTTTAAATCGTGTTTCCCTTGTGGACGGAAAATTGCCATAAGCCGAACTGAGCAAAGATTAATACAACTGATTGCGTTCTACATATGTGCATACATATGTACATAGCACAAGAGCAATAAGTCAAAGCGTGGGAGGCTATTTGGGCTGAGTTGAGTATGGCTCTTTGTGACGTTGTGCTCAGGTGCAAACTCTACAGCCGTTTGCCGTCGCTGGGCGATGCGCGAGGTGCGAGGTGTGAGTGCGAGCATTCTTCAACTAGTACTTTTGGATTATGCATACATACATACATACATGCATGCAACATCAGCTCGTCCGCACATCAGTTTAAGCTGAGCTAAGTAAATTTATGCTTAAATGCGTTCAAAAGTGTAAACAACCGCGGGCCTTTTCGTGTTGTCGTTGCGACTTTATGTCGTTGTTTATGTACATACATTCACTTACAAACACAGCAAACACGTTACAACGGCGAGAGCTCCAGCACAGCCTGCCTGCTCTTAGTTCTTTGGTAAGCATCCCTGCGTGTTTGACAAGCGCTGCGCTGTCAATGGGGTTACCGAAGGATATGCTAATTTACACAGGATGAGAGCAGGCAGTAGGCCGACAACGGCGTTTAGTTAATGTCACGCCCACAAAGCGGCCAAAGCGAAGAGGCTGCTTTTCCGTTTTCCAAATGAATATGCAAAGCGTCAAGGTTGTGTAGAAAGTTAAATAAAATGTTTTAGGAAATTCACTTTGAAGAGAAAAAATCTGTAAAAAAATATTTGCCAAGGCATAAATGTGGAAGATATGAAAGAATTAAAGCGTCCGCGATACACAGACGCATGAGCTACTAATTTGAATGCCCAACGCTAGAGCCAAGGGTTTATACTGCAAAACCGAAGAACGGCTCGGATGGGTGTGTGCGCGGGTATGTGTGTGTGTCTGTCGACTTGATTGCGTAAATCGGGCAATTATGTCACAAAAATGTGCACGCATTCACATTCGGCTTGAATTACGCACAAACTTTTGCCATATTTTATCAATTATGCGAGCGTGACGCAGTTGAGTGCACATTTAGCGAATGAATTCGTTCCCACTGTTGGCGGCCACAAAGGTCAAACGATTACATAAGTGGGCACATGCGGGCAAGCACTTACAACAGACAGAATTCGTAAAACTTTCCTTATCAGTTTTTGTAATTTTTGTAATGGAAGCGCTATTACGGAGAACACGCAAAATGCTATTCAGTTGCATGGGTTTTTAAAGCTTTTGCAGAATTTTACTTCGCTTACACATATTTGAGTATCAGTCATTTACTCGATTCTTTGAAATTTCAAGTGAACTAGAACTATCAGTTGGCGCCGAGTGCCTATTAGAACCCATCAATGAGGGCGGCCTTCGTCTTCGTTAATTTTAAATAATATATTGCCTTCCGAAGCCATTTATTTGCCTTCAGCCGAGCTTTTGTGCCTTACCTCAGCATGAGTGTATTGATCGATCTATAAAGTTCACTTAGAGAGAATTTTTCTTCAATTACTAACACAATTTGCCAACACTTTCGAGCTGACTTTGAACCTGTTGTTGATCTGGACGAAATCGTCTACAACTTCGGAGTGAAAACTATCAGTATCATCATGGAAGTTAAGGCACTAATGAGAGCTGTTTCGTCTTGTCCAAAGGAGATTTTTCGTGCCATTGGAGCTTTCTTCGTGAAGTATATGTATCGGGATCCCACACATTCAAAATTCTAGGTCTTAATCGTGTCTTCGCTTATACAAAAATCTGTCACATGCTGAATATTTTGCTTTGGATGAGGCTAGTGTTGAATCTTCTTCTTTTTTATTGGCCTTGGCACCACTCTGAATCTATTTGAAAGAAATATGGAGCCTGCTGAAAATGTCTCTCTTTTACCATAGGCTCAACCTAAAGTTTACCGTGTTTTATTCGGCTAGGCATTGTATTAAAACAATGATTCTTATCCAACAACAACGTTATTGTCAGCAAATAACTTACCGATACTTTTTTCTTCTGTCTGCAAATGCGCCCTGTATCACCAGTGGTATTCTTGGTGGCGCAAAGTAGCGAGCTTAAACACCATCTCTCTGTTCTACGTTCTTGGATTGCAGCAGGCCGAGTCAAAAACAGAGAGGCTCTTAGTCGGAATTAAACGTTAGATGCAAACAAAACTTTGTCGATTTAGGTTTTTTCGTCCTTCGTAACCAAGTAGCTCGATAAATATTTTTTCCCTCGAATCTGGCACTGCAGACAAGTATATTTCACGTCACAGTCCGTTTGGTTAGCTTTCGG